ACATTTCAATAATTTATATTTGTCGTATTACGCTGTATCTACTTTTTAATACTGAATGGAAATACATGCTTGAACATGGAGATGAGCGAACAAGTTTCGCATTCGATCGAACTCGAACGAACATCGAGCTGTTGGTGTTTGCTCGAACACGAACATGAGGTGTTCGGATTCGAAATGTTCGAGTACTTCTCGAACAGAAGTACGTAGGCGAACAGATTTGAAGTATGTTTCAGAAAGACGCGTCATAAATGGGTGTAATTAAGGGGCAGAATGACTGATAAGCAAAAAACAAATTGTAATAATTGTTCGTGTTCGGATCGAAATTGAACAGTGCATAGTTCGGTTTGGTTTGTTCGAAGGAAAATCTAGCTGTTCGTGTTCGTGTTCATTCGAAGATTTTCAGACCAAATTTGTTTGAGTTCGTTCAAATTCGAACTGGCTTGTTCGCTCATCTCTACTTGAACACCTGTCCAAATTGTTAAATAAACTTTAACTGCAGGGTTTAGAAAATATAAGTAAATAAGTATAAGTAAAATATTAGTAGTGTGCTCAAAAAAGTTGAACAGACTTATCACAGAAAATCGCAGTTCAAAAACAAACAAACAAATACTGACCAAGTTTAGTTTTGTTGATAAGACAGATGGATCTTTTGATGTTTTTGCATGTCCTCTTTTCGCCAATAACTCTTGCCACACAAGACACACTCAAAATTTGTGTCTCTAGTATGAATTAGAAGATGTGCACGTAGCTTCGAACCTTCAGAAAGTTGCTTGCCACACATATCGCACTCAAAAGGCTTCTCTCCTTTATGAGTTTGGATGTGTCTATCTAGATTCTTAATTGAAAGATATTTCTTGTCACAAAGAGGACACTCATAAGGGACATCGTTGGAATGGACCCGTTGATGGTCAAGCAGCGTAGATTTTTGACTAAATTTCTTATTACACTCAGGACACTCAAAAGGCTTGTTATTTGAATGGGACTGTTCATGTCGTCGCCTTAGAAATGGTGTCGCAAATTTCTTGGAGCACACAGAACACTCGAAATTCTTCCCTCTTGTATGGCACTGTAGATGTCGTCGCATCAGATAATTTTTCGCAAACTTCTTCTCACACACAGGACAGCCAAAAGTCTTGTTTTCCATGGCGGTAGTCCTTCAATGCCATGTGAGTTCTGGAAAGAAAGAGAAGGAAGAATATTAGACATTTGCGTTGGAAAAACATGCAAACAACAAAAAATATCTTGCATTTTCATGACTGTTACATACAGTGTCTTATTTTCTGTAAGGGCAAGGATACTTGCTAATACCCTTTCACTTCCAATACACGTCGTACACAATTAAACCAACTGCGAGTTAAAAAGCTCCAAGAGTGCAATACTTGTTGTTGGTTTACCGGTGTATCGACACATAAAGCAATATATCTTAGAGCACTTTGGTATATGATTTTGCAATTCTTTAAACGCACCCTTTTTCAAGCACATGTTTGGCTCTCTTTCTTAATTTTTCGGTGAGGTTGCTTCATCTCACAGAACCCTCATCGTATCCTCCCACCTTGCAAAATGCTTGCAAAAAATAGGTTCGTATTGCAAACGATTTTGTTTGCAGCTTGCAAAGAATTTCAAGGCATCGTAAAACGAACTAGTTCTTAACAAGCTTGCAAAAATTTCCTTTACAATAAGAACTAATTCTTTGCAATAGAAAGCTCGCAAATTCTTTGCGACGTTGCAAAGAATGTAGTTTGTAAGCATTTTACAGTGCACTGCTTGCTGGCTCAGTGACTGCTAACCATTGGCGGTTGTCGATAGTACAATAAGCCCCATCACCGCATTTCACAAAATACAAGAAAAGCAAATACTACAGTCTTCGAGCAACAGAAATAGTTTTCTGTGAACCTAGGTAAAACATCAATATTGGCATAGATTTTTAGTGCAATAGATTTTGTAAAATAGATTTAGTCAAATCAAGGGTCTCAGAGAGAAAACGACGGCGCGCGCGCGCGCGCACGTGCACACACACACACACACACACACGCCACAAGTTCCAAAAAAGTAAGTGGATCACATTTATTCACCTCTTGATGATCTGTTTTTTCATAGTCTATAATTTTTTTAGAGCAAAAGCAGTTTACTGGGAAGTTTTAAACTACGATTTGAAAATGTAGAAAATATTAGAGAAATATATGGAAACCCAGATTAAACAAATTCTTAGCAGATTTAGATCGCGACAGACTAGCCACTAGCACACAAAGGCGTAACTCGACTCCCGAACGCCCACCCAATGGAAGGAATTCAACTGGTTTTAGGACCTGTTTCACTTGATTCAACCCGGCGTCTGGTCCCGAGGAGTTATAGCAGGGCAAAGTAGGCATGAATGACTCATGATCGTGCAGCCACACGCACCACACACACACACACACCTGGACAAGGGAAACTAAACAGGTGGGAACGGAACGGCGCAATACCAATACGGCTCGTGAAATAGATTCAAGTATACTGCCAAAAATAGAGGATAAGTGACCCCCCCCCCCCACACACACCTTTCCGTTCCTCCCCTACTATAAGCAATATCTATCTATATGCGGGACACTTCACCTGATGATGAATAAAACGGAAACGGGTTTGGAAGTTTTAGAAAACGACCACAAGGGTGAGGGGGGGGGGGGAGACTGGGAGACTGTCCGACTATCTTCCGCTCTAAAACCACGCCAGTCATTTGTTACATCCAAAAGAAAATAGAAAACATACCAGCGGGGACGTGTGATGTTTTCTTTTTCTTCTTTCCGTTTCAACAGTTGGCAGCGACGCGGTGCCGGCGCGGTCTGCGCTCCCGTCAGTAGTCGGTCGCTCTTTTGCGCGGGAAACGTAGACGGGTGTGGAGCTGTGCCGTCCAAAGTTCCGCGGACCGCGTCTTGCGAGCAGTTTGGTTGTGCGGTGTATACTAGTTGAGTTTGTGCTCAGTGCTTGAAGAAGAGACTTACGTGTTAAAGTGAGTTCAGTTGGCCGAATCATGTCGGAACGTGCCCTCAGTGGTAGAATGGCAATTATGGCAAGGATGCTGAAGTGTGGTAGAAACTCTGAAACGTCATCGATTCTTTGACAAAGGATTTTCATCAAAACCGAAATGTACATCTCATTTGTGGTTGTCAGTTGAAAGTTTTACTGAAACTTCGTCCTACGCTCAGCAACCGAAGGGTGAGTGAGTACTTCTGAAAACCTGGACCCTTATAATATTTTGAATAAGCAAGATTTCCGAAAACAGGCTTAAGTCTGCTTTTCAGACACACTGGAACAGTTGAAACTCCAAAATATTTAGATGTTTGTTCTTGGTTTATTTTGTTTCCCTGTGACATTGCTTGCACTTTTTTTTTCATTTCTTGTATTCCGCACCTGGGGCACAGCTGTTTCTCGAAGGAACTGTATCTTTTCAGCAATGTCACTTGCTTGTCACATGATACCTATCCTATCGCAATAATCTTGCGAAATCTTTTGTTGACACAGACGTAGACGTACAAGGTAGATTAGACTGCCTGTTGTCTTGCAAAAACTTTCACTTTGCCTTGGTCTACTGTCTCATAAAATTAAAAATTTGGAGAGCAATATTCATGGAACAATTGGGCTCAAAAGTTTTGCGGTGACCTTAATTTGCACAACAAAAGATCTCACACTCACAGCTAACTCCGGGATTTAGAAATCAAAAATGTCCGACACGGGTGAGCACTGCCCACGCGTTCACCTCGTGGCAGATAAGAGCTCAACCGTAAGGGAGACATGACGCAAGGAGACCACACCCCTTTAGCTTAATTGGCCCCTGTGAGACAATATCAACACGCGCCTTGCAGGTCGCCGAGAGGAGTTGCAGCACTCGAGTCTTAGCAGCACCTTCCGCAAAGCGAGAGACTGTGCAGAATACAGCCTCTAGAGCCACACGAGTTCTCTTGTAACTGCGCCATTCACACCGTTTCCTACCACCCACACCCTTCTTCACCTAACCAAACTCGGCTGGTCCGGTCAGCTCACCCGGCACACCGGCTGCCGACCAGCGAGACCGACCTCTCGCTTGATACAAAGCCAGCCATCTGCGACAACTCCAAATTAGCATAGACCACTTTTCGAAAAGACGCCATCGTTAGCTACTCTTCTGAAATCAAAACCATTCCTGGCTCGTAACAGGACGACTCCCCCCCCCCTCTCCCTCTCCTATATATCCCTAAACCAGCAGGTTTTGCTTTTACACGTCAATAACATTCTCAACATTGTCTCATATTGTGGTTCGTGACCTCCTCATCTTTAAAGTCTTACACCTGATGCGTGTGTGCGAGTCTCTGTGACTCCCATGAGTGGCAAAGCGGTGCGTGGGAACACATCTCAGCCCCGCCACGCCCCACCACCGCGGTCCACCGCCAGACAGCACGACGCTTCTGCTTCAGTCCCCGCGTCGTGTATGCGGGGCGTGGTGTGGCGTGGTGTGGCGTGGTGCGGCGGGGCGAGGCTGGCCACGCCATCGCGTCTAGTGCCTCCTGATGACAGCTAGACGGTCTGGCGCCTGTGGGCCTCCCTACCCTGCTCTCTGTCCCTCTCACACAGACGCACACGAAAACACACACACACAGTCTCTCACTCATTCACATTCTCTCCCTCTCTCTCTCCCTCTCTCTCTCCCTCTCTCTCTCCCTCTCTCTCTCTCACACACACCCTGAAAACATAAGTGTGTAACTGGCATGCGCATGGGTAATGCGCAGCTCTTTGGTGCACATTCTTAGGCATTGGAGGAAAAAAATTGAATACTTAAAAATGTTTAACAGTAAATTTGAACACTTTCAAGTGTCCATAGCTTCAGGGCCAACCCTGAAGTTTTACACTTTACCTCTCAACACTTTTTAGTATTCATATGCCCAGTCTAATACTTATTAATGTGTGCAAAGCAGAGTTGAGCACTTACATGTGAACGCTAGTAGCACACTTTATTTAACAGCGCAGACACGTACGTACACACACTCACTCACTCACGCACAAATTTTATCAACTGTAGCACACAGACGACCTCAGGCTGCCCAAACTCGGATGATTCGAAATTTACTGGAGGCCTAGCCTGCCTAATTAATTTTGATAATTTTGTTCTTCCGGGATTTGTCGACACCGCCTTCATATATCCAACATAATCTGCCAGCTCTTGCCAGCGTGTCGGTCCTGAAGCGAGAATAGAGAAAAAAGGGGGAGTGGAGAGAGGCGAGGAGACTACCAAGCAGGGGTCACTGACGCCTAAAATGCCCCCAAGGGACAGAACAAACCCTCCAAAATTAAAGCGCTATCCTCGTAAATATTCACACCTCGTCAGTCAGCTTATGTGTGAGTATGTCTGTGTGTGTGAAAGGGAGAGGGCGGGGGTGGGGGGATCCAGGGGGTGAAGAGGGCGGCAGTATTGAGATGGAAAATTCTGCCACCCGATTTTTCTAAGAATAGCGTCTTACTCATACAGTACAAACGTAAAAGAGTATTTGCAAAACAAATCTTTGCTGGTTTGCTGTTCCAGCAAAATTTGTCATTAGTACCATTTATCATCAAGATTTTAGCTTCAGTAGCACAGTTTGTCCTTTTCTAGAGGAATTCATATTCATTTCCAGTGGCAAAGATATCGCTGCTGAAACATACAAGAAAAAGTGCTGAAACAATATAAATACTAAAGCAAATTTTTGTAGCTGTTTCAGCAAAGGCTCTTTTTTAAAATAGGGAACACGCAAAAGGTTCATAGCGAGACAAATGTATGGGACGCACACAGTGCGGAAGGTGTTCAACAAAGAAGATGCACACTTGCAAGTGCCCAACTTCGGAGTTGCACACGTACAAGTGTTTACCGGTTTGCAAACATATGGTTTATCAGTGAATGCTGCAATTATACATTTCGACTGAAATAACTATCTGTTGTACCTTCTTGCTTCCGTACTCTTGGTACAAGTACACACACAGTATAGACTCGCTCGGCGGAGTTTCTTTAGGCCAGTCAGCAACTCTATCTAGAAGACGCTTGTCTAAGTATAGTGGTCCGAGAGTGTGCGTCAGAGGCTGGCCGGTAAACTCGGTGCCAATCATTCTACACCGCTCAAGGGCGTACATGCTTTGGACCTTTATGTTTCCTCTTTTCTTTCTTTTTTTTTTTTTTTGAAGGCTCAAACGCTCATCAGTTTTTTAGCCGCGCACTTTCAGTACCGTACTGGCAGACCGTTACGGCACACCAGGAGACTGACTTTCAGCCGGACGGCTGAAAAGTCGCGTGCGCGAAGGAAGAGGGCAAAAGAAGGGGAGACGCCAGTCATATACAGGCTTTCAGACTCTTGGATTCTATCCAGGAGCAGCTTCAGACTGAAACGGGCGGTTAGGGGCGCTCCTTGAAAAACAAGATAAGTTTCGAGATAAAGTCCATCTCCTGCGCGCACTGTTACAGCGCAAGACGAGTTAAGTACACCACGCAAGGAGAGGGGAGGCTATAGGGGTAGATGGAGGAACGGGAACGGGATGAAGAGAAAGGCGAAAGGCAAAGGATAGAGGTGAGCAAGAAGAATCAGAAGGGGCTCCAACAGACCGCGAATTTTGTGGCAACATGGCAAAAATGGGGGTGAAACAGAATGGGGGGAAGGGGGTGTAAATACCTGTCAGTGCTACAGCAGGCGTAAATTTACACACTAAACCCTTCTGCATTTTTTGAGTGTCAACAAGCAGAATTTTACGCAGCCACGAGTTATGCATAATTTCATGCATAACGATACACTGTAAAAAAATCTACATTAACATTAACAACAGTTTCAAACTGTTCATTAAAATAACGGTGGCACACTGTTAAATTTTGTTCTCTATCCTACGGTGTACGGTGTGGAAGTACAGTCCGCCACTGTAAAAATTAATAGCAGACCGTAGGAGAGAGCACAAAATTCAACAGTATCTCACCGTTATTCTAATTAACACTTTAACACTGATGAATGCTAGATATTTTTTATACAGTGTAGACAAATCGTGAATTGTACAATTTGTACATAATTACAACCAGAAATTGTTATCATTAGTAATTAGTTATCTAACGAATTGTTTCCCTTTATTTTAACGACCGTAGTATTATGATAAGAAAAGTTTTCTTCTATTTTTAAAGTAAAAAAAAAAAGACCTTCATGCAAAACATTTGGCCGAACATTTGGCTTTGTTTTAAACGTACAATTGTCAGGGTGTATGGGTGAAATTCTGCATGTTTATGCAGAAAAAAATTCACAAAGATTTACTAGGTAATAACCGTAATCATTTTTAAAGAGAAAAAATGGAACGTGGCAGGGTACCTACGCAGGTAGTATAGTCGAGCAGTGTACCTAACAGCCCACCTCCAGGAGTCCTACCGCGCTCATCCAAAGTCAACACCACGAATGTTTGCTCGAGTTCGCTGACCCTGGCTGAGCTGCAGCAGCACATGCAGCTGGCAGAGAGTTCGTCACCGAAATGATATAAATCAAATGGAAAAGGCTCAAGAGCACGGCGATGCGAGCGGACTTCCCTGCAGTGCTGTTGGACGGTGTGGGGTCCTTGGCCTGCAGACGGTTGCAGCGGTGCGCACGCCGGTGGGGCGGGGATTTTCCGAGGGAGGGGAAAGGGAGGGTAGGAGGAGGAGAGGGGTGGAAGGAGGGAGGAGGGGTGCAAGAGAGAGGAAGAGAGGAGGGGTAAGTGCGACCGCGGCGCGGGAAACCAAGGAGTTGGACCTGGGCTGGGCCAAACTGAGCGGCGGTTTAGAAGATGGGGCGGGGCCTCCTCCCCCTCCTTTCCTCTTCTCTCTCTCTCTCTCTCTCTCTCTCTCTCTCCTACTAGTACGTACCCACGCACGCACACTTACTCACCCTCTCGTCCCCTCCACATTAATTTGCATCCAGATCGTCTGCGACAGGCAGAAGAAGGGCAAGGCGGTGTAAAATAACCACGGTCCGGTTACACTTGACGACAACGTTTATGTACTGCGTTTTACTCGCAACTTTAAAACAATGTTGATATTTTTGTCTTTGTAATACCCTTCCCTCTTTAGTTAATTCTTTGTTTAGTTTGACAGAACCTTGCAATATAGGAAAACGGACCGAAAAGCTTCCCTTCCTTTCCTTCCTCCTCCGGTTGAGTCAATAGAGTAACTGATTCTGTGACAGTAATTGCCCGGCCGCCTATGACCTGTCAATAGACGCTGGTGACCTTGAGCGCTTCCTTGCGAGGGGTCGGGCCGGACGACCTCTCTCCGTCTCCCTTGCACTCGCGCGCGGGTGCGGCGCTACCTGAGTCAGACGGGCCCCGCCGCGCCCGACTGCCGCCGCCGCCCTCACTATTGGCGCCGGCGCCAGGCGCGGTACTCTCTCAAGAAGAAAGTAGTAATTGCAAAAGTGCGCGTCATGTCCCTGCCCTTCCGCACGACTGCCCAACAGACGACACACTGACGGGCAGGACACCCCACTATGGCGCGCACAGGCAGTTATACTCTTTAAATGTTCGAGAGTGCGTGCTTACATTAGCAACTTATTTGTAAATGTTAATGGATGTCCAAGTCATGAGTCATCAGTGCGAATCGCTTTAAATACGCAAGAAACTTTACGCGTTGCTAGAGGCATAGTGAGCCCATGCTCAACAATAATTTACCCCACTATTGGGTGGCACCTCAAGTGAATGGTACAGACATATTGGACATATGCCACACGTGATGCGGACCTGTCACAGGACCTGGAGCGGTAGGCTCCTTGAAGGCGCGCCCTGCTGTCCCTGCTGTCCCTGCTGCAACAGGCCTGCTGCGTGGACGGCGGGCAGCAGCAGCAGCTGCGGCGGCGGCGGCAGTGGCGGCGGCAGGGCGGCAGAGCCCCGGGGCCGCCGCGCCCCGCCCCGCCCGGCAGGCGACACTCAGCAGTGCCGAGGCGACCGTCGCGCCGTCCTGACGCGTCCCGTGCTCTTCTGTGCCGCTACTGCCGTGAGATCGACGTGCGTGCGTCAGTGTGTGTGCGTGCGTGCGAGCGTGCGTGTGAGTGAGAGAGAGAGAGCGAGAGTGAAAAAGTGTGTGAAGTGGAGAGGTGCGTCGCGTGTGAACGGGTGTGGAAGTAACGGCCAGCACCGCATCACCCCTTCGCCGCTGCCAGCGCTATGCCTAGCCCGTACTGCCCCAAGTCCAGACGACGTCCATGCTCCTAGGTAGGTGTCCAGGGCCCCCGGCCAGGCCCCCACGGGGGCCCGCCCGGCCCGCCCGGCCCGCCATGCCAGCGTCGACTTCCAGGGGGTGGTGGTGGAGGCGGGGGTGAGCAGCGTGTGAGCGCCCGGGGATGACTCCAAGGTACGCATCACCACCTTGTGTCTGCTGGAGGGGGCGGTACGCTGAATATGTTTGTGTTGTGAAAGACGAAGGGGAAGGAGGAGAATGTCGGCCCTACTGCCATCTTGCACGAGGCCATTTAAAACAGGCCCCCGTTTGCTTTGGCCACTCTCGGACCACCCTGTCCGAACGGTTCCACTTTGGCGCCGTCGTCGCCGCTGTCAGCAGGGAGGCAAGGGTATCCCCCGTCCGTCCGAAGCAGCAAATCGGCGCCAGTGAAAGTCCGCTGCTTTACTCTTACGGTTATTGTCCATGACAAAACCTCAGGACCAGTGACCGGGCCGGCGGCGCCAGTCCAAAACAATTGTGTGCTTACTCATCACTGGCCCCGAGCGCGCAGTGCGCGTCGTCGTTATTTCCGATGTGATCAGCTCGCAAGAGTGAGGAATGTCAAGCCACGTTTCACTCCCCCTTACCTTCTTTGGCGGTCCAGGCTGACCTCCGCGAGCCGCGGCGCCTGCAACAAAGTAGTGGAACCTGTGTGAATTCGCAATTTATTGGCCGGCGGGGGGAGAAGCGAACGTCTGGCACAAGTTGTTGCAGTTGTTTGTTATTTGTTATGATGATCGTGCCTTTTGCAAAATTCATCGCGGGAAGTCAAACACGATGATATTGGTCTGCCGAAAGACTTTTCAATATCGCCGCGATGATCTTTTCGGATAGTCACCGCGATCAGAGTTCTAAACGCGACGATGATTGCGCTCTGAAGCTGCCGCTGCCGGCTGCTCGGGCCGGCAGGGCTCTGCGCCGGCTCGTGTCGTCACGAGTATAATGCAGCTCGTAAACAGACTATACTGCAATGCTTTCCGGCGCATTATTTTCGCAACGAGCCGGGGGCGCGCTTGCTCTGGAAAGACAAGGTTCTGTCAGCAAATGTACAAAGAAAATTTATAATACTGTATCGATAAAAAAAAACCAGCCCCATTCTTAATTATTTAAACCTAAACCTTTACGAACAATTTATCGCTCCCTTCGTTACGATTGCTGAACACGTTTTCGTCCCTTTTTCAAACAGACCTTGTACGCCGTCAAATAGTGATAGTTTTGTGGTTGTCTGGTCGCAGTCGCGCGTCACAGCAGACGAGCAGCACATGACCTACATCTGACCGTTCTATGCAGCTTTGGTATCATTGGCCCTGAAATCGAAAGGACATACAACCGCACTCTAACGCACGCTCTGTACGACCAAGCCTAGCAGTCCAAGCAGTCATAAAGTGACAGGAAGAGGGACAGGGAAAATCTAATGTTAGCCCAGAAATTGTATTTTGAGCTCAAAAGTCCCAGGTTACTACAAATTGGACCTGATTATCTGAAAAATTCTGCAACGTAGTCACTGACCCTGGAAACTTTTAAACGCAGCACACATAATAATAGTGAGCTATGTTTCTGTTAAAGCTGACCTATTTTGTTGTCTGTCGTAGAGACAAGGAATCTTTCGCACGGATGACAGTCTTCTTTCGTTCTGTCTCCTTTTTATTTTTTTGTGAGTGATCTGGCCGGGGTCGGCCCATCGGCCCCGCCCACGACGCCCTCGCCACACTATAAATAGAACACGAAATGGAATCTTTTTGGTTGCAAGGAGAGCCCGGCCGTGACGTCACGCTGGTCCCTCCAGGGAGCAGTGCAGGACTGTGTCTCTCTCGCTCCCAGGGTCCGCGCGCCCGCGGGCAGCCGTCTCTCTCAGTCCGCCACTGGAGCAGCGCGGCACGCCACTGCTGGGGCCCTTCTGCTGCTGCCGCCGCCACAGAGCAGAGGCAGAGAGGAGAGGGAGAGCGGGAGGGAGAGGGCGGGAGAGAGGGAGGGGAGGGGAGGGTCGCGGGGCTCACCAATTGGACAGCATCCGGGGGCGGGCACCGCGGGCAGCGCGCGGCGCAGCAGAGCTGCAGCACGGACGAGTGTTCCGATCAAATTGTTGCCAAGATAAACGATGTATACTGCGTGCCATTATTTACCCATTGACAGATGCAAACAAAAAAATCTGCAGGTTATGCCGTAAAAATATCCAAAAGAAAAATCCGTTTTGAATAGGAAATATTTGGCAAGATTGTTAATGAGACCAAAGCAGGTTCACCTAGCGTCTAGAAATGACATGTTTAATAATTTACTAAAAATGGAAGGAAACATAACTGGTCCAGAGAAAGAGAATGCGTTCGAATGGAACTGCGCGGAAGGCCGGCAGGACACTTGAGTGGCGCCAGGCGCACTTCAGTCAACCCTCTCTCCTTCCCTCGTTTCTCTCTTTCTGTTTCTGCCTGGTGTCCTCGCAATGGTCTCCGCCTCTTTCTCCCCTTCTCTCTGTGGCGTCGGTAAAAAATTGAACTGACAGAACTGAAAAACTAACAACTTGAGCTGACTTGCCTGTACGGGTAGAGACAGCAAAAGGAGACTCCAAAAATGCAGAAAGGGGCAAAAAAGAAACAGTACAGTGGAATGGATAAATAATTTTCATTATGAAAATATTCAGCAAAAACGTTTGGAGTTTATCTATGTTCTATGCAGTCTTGTGGTGACCATATGCACACCGCCAAAGTCGCTTCGGGTTTCACATGCAAGGCCACGACTCCTCCGGATAAAAAAAAAGAAAGAAAAACCGCCAGGAAAAAAGGCAAAGAGTATCTCTGCTGCTGTTAACAAGCGACTCAGAAATACCAAAGCGATGTCGATCCCGGGCTGATGGCTCCATTAGAGCTGACGAGTCCGTCTACACATGTCGGTAAGAAGGAGACATTTATCAATTAGGGCGGGATCGACATTCGCCTCTGCTATATAAAGTTGATTTAACATTTTTTAAGAGAGTGCTGCGGTGGCTCCTCAGCTGACTCAGGTAAACTAACTGATTTGTTGCCCCTAATTCTGCTCCAATTAGGTTTACCTTTTTTCCGCATGCAAAGCGTCATAAATACCACACAGTAGTGGCGAATGACAACGAACTGCCGAAACGGCCTGAGTCATATTCGAACTCACCATAGACGGAAGAGGGAGAAGGGAGGGGAGGGATACGACTATGAAAATAGTTTGATAACACACAAGTTATCAACAAAAATTATCATTTTACGGTCTTGCGACTTACGAGGAAATGTTGAATAATTCTCTGAGTGCGCGCTGCTGCTGAGGAGGCGCGACTGGCGGGGAATGCTTTTGGCACAATTTCCTGGCACTATTTCGTGGCGATTCGCGCCAGGTAGGCTCAGAAGGCAGGTGTGTCCAACAGCCCCCGACCCCGGCCGGAACACGTCACGTACTCTCCTCATTGAACAGGGATACCGCCGCGCGCGCGGGGGAGCGACGCGTCATCGGCCAGACGCAAAGGGGGAGGATGCAACTGGCCATCAATTATAGGACGCTCAAGCTGCTGCACTCACTGTTGAAAAAGGGCGAAAAAAATCACAAAGAATTCGTTGTGAAAAAAAGTTCCCAGGGCTAGGACTCTGGTTCAAAAATATTTTTAATTTAAGATAGCAAAATGCTCGACTTTGGACTAGGGAGAATTAGTCGAGAATTCACACTTTCTCCGTACCGAACAAGTGTTCGAAAATCACAAAATATTTTTAACATGTTTGAAATCTCGAGCTCAACTTTACGGCCTTGCTGCTTTCAAAACGGTGATCTGTGTCGTCTAATAATTTTTTCAAAGTATAGTAACGAAAGCAAAGTAAGAATATTTCCAGTGCAAAACCGAGCAGACTTTACTTAGGTCCCATTAAATAACGTTTAGATGGAAATCTAAATTTGTGCAAAAACGGTTGCACATTTCATGTCTGGAACGTTGGCCCCGTTGGCCGCGGGATGTGCAACTGCTTGACTTCCGGGGCACTCACACGGCGAGTGCTTTCTATCGCCGACAAGTACATTACCGATATTACAAGTTGGGGTTTTTTTCCTCTCAATTTTCCGCGCGAGCCGCCGTGCTGGACAGACCGGCGAGGGGCGCGGGGTAGCGTTGGGGTGGCGCGGGGCGGGCACGCGCTGCCGCTGGCCAGGCGGTGCCATTGCAAGCTAATATTAGACGGGCTGCCGCCGGGCAGATGCATACTGCGTACTCCTTCATGTAATACCCTCCGCCGCATCCCTCCTCGCCATCCCTCCCGCCCAGTGCAGTGGCGGGGCAAGGCCTGAGGCTCGGCCTGAGGAAGGCGGAGCAGGCGAAGCACACCGGGGCGGCGAACGGAGCGTTCTGTGAGCGCTCTCGCTGGGGGGAGAGAAGGAGATACAGAGTGAGACAGAGAGAGAACGGGACAGAAGAAGCGAGAGCGAGTAAGAGAAAGAGCGGGACATGCCGAGAGCGAGCGAAAGAGAGGGAGGGAGAGAGGGAGAGGAGAGAGAGGGAGAGGAGAGAGAGAGAGAGAGAGAGACCTTCACCCCCCGACGCTACCCCTAGCGAGCGCCCCATACCCCTCCCAGAGCACATCGCGCTTGGTCTTGGCTACGCCACCGCCGCCGCCGCCGTCTGCGCCTTGCACCCCTCCCCCCTGAGGGTGACGTCTGGGGGGAGGATGACGTACGGACAGTTGCACCAGAGAGTACAGTGACTGTCTAACATCTGCCAGCAGGTGCAGGGGGGGCCGCCGGCGCGCGGGGGGCCCGGCGGCCCGGGGAACCCGTCGTAGGGTAAAGGGGGTCTGAACAAGGCGCGGCGCCGCGTCGCGTCGCGTCGCGTGGGGGCCGCGCCAAGGTCGTTCGTCGACATGGACCTCCGCGGGGACCGCGTCCGGCCGGCCGACCTGCCGTCTTGTGCGAATGCGAATTTCATGCGGCGGGCCGGTCAGGTCTAGGAGGAGGTAATTAGCATGAGCGGCCGGCACCACGTCCGGGTGGGCGAGCAGCGCGCGGAGCGCGCGGAGCAGCGGCAGCAGCGGCAGCAGCGGCCAGAGGTGGCAAAGGTGAACTTTTGGCAGCGGCCGCCGCGTGCGTGGCAGCTGTTGCCGTTGCCCCCCGGTGGTGCTGCCCCAGATAATCTTCAGCAGGTCCCCCTCAACGTCTTAAGATCCCATCCCCCCCCCCCCCCTCCTCCACACTTACCTAAGTAAAGCCCAGTTAGGGGTCGTGCCCAATACTGCGTGACTTTTAGGGGTGGGGATCTAAATATTATGGGGTCCCATAAAAGGATCAGGAACATCATTGGAGTCCATAGGGACCCCATAATATTTGTACCCCCCCCCTTAAAGTCACGTACGATAGGTACGACCCCCTCTACCCTTATCTTTAAAAAAAGAAGAAAAAAACAGCCTTCGTCCTCCAATTTTCTCCCACCCGGGAATAAGAAGTTCGCTCTGTTTCGCATGTCCGTGCGCTACTGTTCGGGCCTGTCCAAAGGCCTAAAGTGGTTGGTGGTCACCCGGTCAAAGACCCTCTCTTTCCCCCGCCGCCGCCGCGTCGGCGCGCACCACTGCTGCTGCTTTGCCCCAGTGCCAAAGCTCCACCAGGTGTGACACATCAGCCGGTTGACCAACTACTGCAGTTTAGTTTCGCCAAACGAAATAATCATACGGCAACAGCAATCAAATTCACTGTCATTAAAATACTGTGAAGTCACATTCTATATAATGTGGAATTATGTCACATTATTTAGAATACCATGTCACAATTTTTATGACGTGACGTACCCCTGGATAGCTCTGCCCTCTCAGGCTCAGTGCATAATAGGTGTACCAATGTCACGTTATGACGAATAACATGACATGATATTCTAAATAATGTGACACAATTCACATTTTATAGAATGAGCTGTCAAAGTATTTGAATAACAGTGTTATAGTGAAAATTTAGGAACCCTAAGGTATTGGCAAGCCTCCGCAATAGTCAGTCCAAATTAAGAGTGCTCAGTCAGTCGACGACTTTTATGTCGGGCGTTTTCAGAGAAGGGCGCGTCTGAGGTAATTAGTAGAGTAACGTCTTAGGCTTGGCACGTCTTTCCCTTGAAATTTGAAATCTTGCCAAAGGAGAGGGTGGTCGGAGGAAGCAGAAAGGAAAACGACTTCGTCGACGGGAAAGAAGAGGGGGGGATCATGAAGGGTACAGATCTGGAGCCTGTCATCTCCTTGCGTGAGGATTTAAGGGGCGCTGATAGTGAGATTATCCTGCTCCCCTCCATCTTAGTCCCTCTATACACACACATACAGACACATTTTTCTTTTCTTTGCTACATGTTCGGAAAACTTGTGTGACACTGGCGAGCACTTCTTTATAGTTATTTGTGGCAGTAATCACACTGTACTCGATACACTGCAAAAAAAACAGTTGTCGCTTGTACAGGAAAATTTTAGTTATAAAGCTTGTCGTGAAATTACAATCCACTATTTGAACGCAGGCCTGACTCATGACCCGAATAACGGTTGGCTGCTCCAGTTCGCTATGAACAAGCAGTCCTGATAACCCTATTCGAAGTTGAAGCAATACTCATGCGAGCGGGAAAATATAAAGTGATTAATACCCTTCGGAAGTACTCAGAAAAAAATGAACCCCTCTGATCGATATTGCAAGCAGAACTGATTCACTTCCTTCTGCTGTGATGGTACATCCTGGCACCGTTACTAGTAAGCACTCATGTCACGTCCTGACCTAGCTAGACGAGCCATGTAAGCCATGTTTGATAGGGTGCGCCACCCGCTCTGTGTCAATTTCAAGGAGGTACTGTGTGTACAGATAACCCACGCCGCTTATGCGTCACAACGTGTCAGACAGTCACGTACACAATGCAGCATCCTACATCGGAATAAATACGTGCTTCAGATTGAATTTCCATCGACAGAAACCTCGCGGGCTTAGGGGTTCATTTTAGGTTCAGTGGAAATGTAACATTACGACGGTGCATGGATATATGACTGCATGGCAATAATTGGAGAGGTAGGTCACAATGTCTAGATATGCTGCTAATGGAAAAGTATCAGGGTGCAGGGCACACAACAAAACACAAAACAAACCCAAAAAAAAATAGAACATCGAATCGATACAAAAATGCAATAACGATGGGATCCAAACATTTCAGAAGTTCATCCTTCACCCCGGCCGCAGAATCACGGGGCCCTATCGCATGTCAACGGGATCCGACAAAGGGTCGTCTCTGTCGGGGCAGGCAACCAATCGGTCACTGCAGCCTTATGTCGCTGCTAAAAGCCTCGTGGATAAGCTGGCGGTCTGAGACAGAGAAGGGGGAGGGAGGGGCCCGATCCAGGGGACAGGGTGGCGGGAATGAGGAAGAGAAAGGACTCTATAAGAGGCGAGAATGGTGGAAAAGTACCAGCCGCGCAGCCTCACGCTCGCCCAGGTTGGCCCACCACAGGAAAGAGGGACTCACACATGTGTGATCAGTCGGGTCTGTTGTTGCCAGTGTCTAAGGTTACTGTCCCACTCACCGTGTTTGACGAATTAGTGCGAATGCAGTCTCGACTCCAGACTCCTCCTGCAACAGGAAAGCAAAGAAAATTCAATCATCGGTGGTGCTAAACTATTTTTAAATTAAGGGCGTTAGCTGATATCGGGTGTGACACGGGCTGACACGCTGGCGCGCGTGCCCACCGCGAGCGGGCCGTCCCGGCCACGTCCGCTCGACCAGCCGGCAGCGCCGTGCCTCTTGCGGACGAATTGAAGCGGATGAATTCGGATAACGAGCGGTTGCGCCGCGCCGAGAGGCGACTGTCCCCTGTGCTGTTGTTGTGATTCAAATGCTGCGCGCCGACACGTTCTGTTCAACTGTTTATGCGCGCGCCCACACAAAGGGCACGGACGTTCAACCGGTTCCACCGACATCACTGCGCATTTTACAGAATTTACCTCGGAATTTACGCAGTCGCATTGGACTGGGCCGGAAAATTGCCAAATTCAGTCCAGTCCACGGCTGCAGACACGTCAAATGTTCAACCGGCAAGCACATAGCGCGCATGAAAAGTGTCCAGCAACTTATCGCTTGACAGACAATTTGAATATTTGTTAAATATTTGGACAAGAATGTTTTGCACTTGAACGATTTCCACTCATTTTGAGTCTTAAACTTATTGCAAAAATTGAAAGACAAACATAGGCATGCACTTACAAGTGTTCGCCAGTTGGGCTTTTAGGGTGTGAGATGTCAGTGCTTAAGTGAAGGATAGCATAAAAAAAAGCAAAAGCATTGTTTTAATTCTGTACACGTGCGTGGAGCTCATACTTTGTTTAGGTTTACGAGATGTGCAGATAAATCAAAGAATAACCATTCTGTTGAATTGTCGTTTGTGTATAGCAGGGTAACATTTCTTTAAAACAATGCAGAACTCCTGCGGAAAGAGTGCCCTCCCTCTTCAGCCACACTTGGTTCACCTTGATCTCTTCACACGCGCGCCGGCCCCGGGGCAGAGCCGTGTCCCTTCGGCTCCCTTGTAGTCCCTTCCAGTTGGGGAATGACAGGAAATGGGCTGGTCAGTCCAAACCGGATGGTGGCCAGCGAGCCCGTGTCCCCCCACTTAAGGCGCTGACTGACTCAGTCCGCCTGCTTTGGCCTTCTTCTTCTACCTCTTCTTCTTACACAAATCTAAATTGGTGGCTAGAAATACAGTCCAAGAGCAAGGCTAGGCTACTTGTAACATTCTCAGAGGTTATGTTGAAGGTTTGGCGTCGGTGACCCGGTCACGTGAGAAATTGGTAGAACACCTTATATTTTATTTCATGCTTGTGTAGAGGATACCACACTGTTAAAAGCTTACGGTGAATTTTACCGTATGCTACTGCGAACCCTGCAGCGTTGTAGCTTACGGTCAGTTTTCACCGTAAGCTACATTGAATATCACTGTAAGTTACGGTGATACACCCTGAATCACCGCAGCCTACGGTGAAAATTGACCGAAGGCTACGGTGCTGCAGGGTCGCTGAAGCTTACTGTGTCATTCACCGTAAGCATTTAACAGTGCAAGGCCATAAAAAAACTACAAGGTAAAATATGATCCAATTAGCTCATAGCAAACGAATAACATCGTTGTTGAGCAAATTTTTTGAAGACAACAAATGCTGTAGACACAGATCACCATAACGTGCTGCGTACATTCTTCTACTCTGAGTATACAGTCCCATTGTTGCAACATAGTGGAGCTGTCCTATACTTTTCGATTTTAGGAGAACTTTTGGAAAAGACTCTTTACTGCTCATACGCTAGGCCGATATCCTGGTCTTTGCGGGAATATGTTACTTCGTAGGCATGAAATCAGAGATACAAATAGATCCGTGAGTGAATCAGTAAAGATGGGTTACACCCCCACGGTGCAACATGACGTACTTCTAACGACGGTCTTACGAGAAGAAGTGACTGTGACGTCATGGCGAATAGAATTAACTTTCCCGGGATGGTCTGCCCCCCCCCC